AGTCACGTCAGGTAAGCTCTGGTCTCCATCTACCGACAAGGTCAAAAATACATGATTGATTTTTTCTTCAGAATCTTCTTTCGAAAATGAATTATTGAAATCTTGTTTCGGCCAGCAATTTTCAGGTTGTCGCAGGAAAGGTGGTCCTATAAACCATTGTGAGTTCACCTGAAGATCTGAGTGGCAACTGAATCGAGTTACTCCATCAGCAACGTTTTCGTTTGTAGGAACATATTGCCATACATCAGAAGAAGTCAATTCCTGAATCTCTCCGATTCGGTGAGCAACAAATTGTTTATAACTTCGACCGTCACCATGTATCCAGTTTAGTACAATTCTAGAATCAGTCCACAAATATGAAGCTCAAATATTCAGGTGTATTCCATTCTTGACTGTGTACAATAACCTGCTACCCATTACTGCAGCTTGGGGTTCTAGTCTTGGAATCGATATCGGTCTAAGTGGTGCGACTCTAGCCCTCGTAGAAACTAAGACAACATGAGTACCTTCACTGGAAATTATCCGCAGGTAGGCTGCAGCAGCAAATGCCTCTTCACTGGCATCGCAGAATACGTGAATTTCAATTCCAAGAGCCTCTGGTAGAATATGGGAATAACATCTTGGTATTCGTACGTTTTGAATCTCTTTGAGTTCTTGCAGCCAAATAATCCAATTTCGGAAAATACTCTCAGGAATGGCATCGTCCCAAGTAATACCACATCGCCAAATTTGCTGAAGTAAAATTCGTCCCCTAATTGTTAAATTCGTGAGGAAACCAAGGGGGTCGAATACAGACATCACCAGCTTCAGAGCTTCTCGCTTTGTTGGTACTTTCATTCCACTAACTATTTCTGCGTTCACTTTGTGAAATGAAATATTGAATGTGAATTCATCTGCAATAACATCCCACCATATTCCAAGGACTCGATTAGCTGTAGATTTGTTGAGATCTTTAGTTAGTGTTTTAGATTCGGCATATTTTCCTGTAACTCTCAAAGAATTAGATACCCATCCTACTATTTCAAAACCGCCTTCACGGTGGAGGTTGATCATCTCATCAATTTTCTGGATAGCCGTTTCTTCATTCATTGTCATTTTCGACATCAAAAGCTAGATGTGAATAAGTTTTAGATTTTCTTGCGTTGAGGTTTTTCACGAATTGTGCCGAATATGAAATGCAAGTGATCTTAATTTTTCTGACATATTTTCGTTCGGAATGTCAGTTACCGTTCAAAAATTTTCGTTTCTGGAATCTCTTCAAAATTGAACTTACTGTGTTACCACTTTAGTTCTTGTTCGGCTCGAGGACCATGTCGAAGAATATATACTTCTTTTCTCGTGAGAAATACTCAATATTAATTCTGAATCTGAGTCTGGTTTTTCATAGATTTTTTTATTCTCGTCACCAATAGGTCGCGTGCAAGAACTGTCAGATGACCGACCCTGGAGGCAAAACATATTTGTTTACAAGTGATCGAAATAGTTTTCCACAATTATTTTGGCATATGAATCTTATTTTTCCGCTATTCATCAATTCGCTAATGCCATCACATTGTGCTGTTGTAAAATGCACAAAAACTGCAGCTGAAGATGAAGAAATCCGGATGGTACATAATGATTCAAAAGTAAGTACCTACTATAGTCACTCACATAGTTTCCATTTTTGAAATTTGGTTATTTCTCTGATTTCTCATCGGAATTCCTTCTGCAATAGGATCAGCTAATAAAAATATACCTGAAATTTCTAGAATAATGCAACAAGATTGGATTCATGCAATCAATCGGTAGGACTGGTCTGACATGCTGACGATCGTGTGTGTTGTAGACATTTTCAATTTATTAGCAGCATTAGCTTGTATTGCAGAAGTGGCAGAAGGCAGGAGGAATTTCAATAAGGAATGACAACATTTCATAATGCTAACTATGTGAGATTACTATTTACCTGAAAACTCATATTCCCTAGTCTCTTGCTGCATTTTTTGTGCATTGTACAACCGCACAATGCAAAGGCATGCTTGAATTAATGAATAACGCAAGAAACACGATTCGTATGCCAAAATATTGTGAAAAACTATTTCAACCTCTTGATTCCTCTGTAACCAAATAAAAAAGTGAGGTTGTGTTTTATTAATCCACAGAAGAATGATGTTGTGTTTTAATATTTTGCCTCCAGGGTCGGTCTTCGTGCACGCGACCTATGGTAAAATCAACAACTTAACTATACAGCACACATGGATATCAAAAATAACCGATATACCAAGTATCAAAAAATAATTAACAGTTAGGTTGCCGACCGGTCGGCAGACTATACTCTATGTTTAGGATGCTGACCAGTAGATAACGGAACATTACTGAATTAAACTATTTTCAAGAAATTATCAATTTCAAGGAAGAAAAAACATAATTTGACAAAAAATCTTACTTCTAATGAAATTAGATATACTATAGATCTAATTTTAGATCTATGGATATACTTAGGTACCTACACACAAACACACTAACCTAGTGGTGGAACAAAAACCTGATCCCAAAAATCTTGTGAACTAACAATGGAGGAACAAAGAACTAGATCATAAAAAGCAGAATATAAAAAAAAAGTAATGTATAGTCAACCCAAACATACTAACCAATTAGTGAGACAAAAATCTCATGAGAAAAAAATTGATTGAAAAAAAAAGCTGTTACATATGTGGGATTTCCACACAGGACCACATGCCAACTGGTAGGCTTCCTAAAAAAAAGTATAGACTGCAGACCAGTCAGCATACTATACTTTTTGTCAGGGTTGCCGACCAATTTTATACAGGAAGTATTCCACTGAATGGTCGACAGTCTAGAGAAAAAGTATAGTTTACCAACTGGTCATCAGCCTACACAATTTCTTTAGGAAAACCCTATATATAATACCTATTGATATTGTTCACCCATATAAGATGAATTTAAACACATTGGACATTCAATGGAGTAATATATTATATTGTTTAAAAATGTGTTATTACTGTATAGTTATTATTGTTCATTACCTCCAAATACTTCCATATTTTAAGTTAGATTTTCAATAATAAAAGTGACTAAATAAAATTAATATATATTTGGAATATTGGTGTGTTAGTTTCAAAAGCAGATTTTGTACAATCAAACAACACTGTACTTAGTTCTGGTTCAACATATAGTACCTAATTTCAACTTGGATAATTTAAATGAAATGTCAATTTGGTAGGCAGGTAGAGGTGTGGACATTTTTTTAAATTTTCATTAAATTAGATGGAGAAGCTCTAGAAACAGAGGTGAAACATCAAAATTCAGCTTGATAAAAATCTACAGGGTGTTTGGTTCTTTTACATACATCTGAGAAAGGGTGATAGGAAAGAATATTTCAAACATGTTTGACCTTATTATACAGGGTTATAAATTTTCAGATACCAATCACCATTTTTTCAAATATTTATCTGATTGTATCTTTCTTCATTAAAAAGTTGAATACATGCATATTTACATACAGAATAAAAAAAATCATTTTTGGAATTGATTTCTCAAAAGTAACACTTTGTTAAATATGTTCAAAATCACATTATCTACCACCTCCTTGAAGATATACATAGGTGAACCAAAAACCCTGTATAACTAGAAAGACAAACTGGATCACATTAAAATAACCAATACCATACCAAGCTCCAATAACAAGGTAGATTGAAAACTCTATTGAAAAGTACCTACTGACTCATTATTTATTGAAACATTGATGATTTTTAGCTTTAAACATGATTATAAATAAATGTGAAAACCAGGCAATATAGATAAATTTACTATAAACTTTTTAGTGCCCAAACCATTACCTTTAAGTCTTGATTTCAGGATTTCACTGACTAGAGCTCCAAATGCATAAATATCAATGAAATCTCTTCTGCCCAGTTTGTTATCCAAAAGTTTTTCTTCATTGGGATCTACTGATCTACCATACCTGTTACTTCTTGTCTTACTTAGGTAATCACAGCTTATATCTTTGTATCTACTCAGGTACTCCATTCCGCCTAGCTTCCAATTCCCATCTTTGGTGGTATATATTGAAGAAATGCAAACATTATTATGTGATGCAGATGCATTTTCATGTAGGAAGTGAAGTGCTTTCAGTACTGAATGCAATCCAACAGAAATTTGCAAGCTATTAAGCTTAGGAAGAACTTGAGCAAGGGGAATAACTTCTTCTACAGCTAGGTAGAATTTCGAATTGTTTTTCCATGAAGATATGTACTTTATGATACAAGGATGTCGAAAAACCATCAAATTCTGAAACACATCAATGTGATCTAGTATTTGTAAATGCTTTTGAATTGATTTACCTTGGTGCATTTCTCTAACGGAGTTTGGGAAGTCCACAATGAACCATTAACGAATATTTCTCCAATGAATATGGACAGGTTTGTAAGATTACCTGCTGCTATTATGCTCGCAGAATGTTGACTCCAAAAGTCACTCACTTCTATGGCTTTTTCATCAATGTCTATGCCAGGTAGTTGAGATTGTTCATTGCCCATTTCAATATTTATCTCATAATATCATTATAATTATAGTAAAAGTAAACACATCTCGGTGAATCTAGGATATCAGCTCAGCTGAGATGAAAGAGAGTGAAAGCATTTATTTTGGATTTAAAAGTCGATGGCAGTGACAACTGACATAACATTCATTGACATCATCATTGACAGTTGGTGTTAAGTATATATTTTTCTTTGTTAACACATGCGAGTTAAGAAGGATAGATAAACCGCAAAAAATGGATTTCTCACTGATCTCTCACCAAGTCATGGTCGTTTGAATTCTTGCAATTTTTTTATCAAGGACATCAGGAATAGACTGCGCATTCCGCAAAAAGCAACAAGTGCGGTGATCAGCTATCAGCTGTTACAGCCTGTTGCCTGTTGGTGACGTTCTTTTAACCTTCAGGCTTTCCTTCAAATCGAAAGATTGCTTTGATAAGAGCCATAATTTTTTAATAAAAAATGTCTCTTTTATACAAAAAATCTATGTTGGCTTTGGATAAGGTGGTTCCCCCAAAACTGCAGCCTCTGTGGATGCATCCTGCAGGTATATATTGTTGAAACAAATTACTGATATAATAATTTTATCGATTTTCAAGGTCCCAAAACCATATTCTTCTGGGCACCAATGTTCAAATGGGTAAGAAGCTTCGTGCAACTCTTTGAATAGATTGAACTCACCATGTAATCAACTTTTTCATCCATTTTTTCCTTTATTCCTCCAAATATTACCATTTTTCAGGGATTGGTGATAGCAGGAATAGCAGACTTGCAAAGACCTGCTGACAATATCAGCCCTGGTCAATGTGGAGCCCTGCTGGCAACAGGAGTGATTTGGTCCAGGTATTCCCTGGTCATAACACCCAAAAATTATTCACTTCTCAGTGTTAATGTATTTGTAGCTCTAACTCAATGTTACCAAATGTACAGGGCTCTGGAGTAAGTGAACTTGTTTTTTTCTGAATAACAATTGATACTGATGATTTTATCATTATTTTCTTTTAGTTATCAGTTTCGAGTGAAACCAGCCCAATCAGCAGTATAACAATAATTGGTCTATTATTGTTACAAAAGACATAATTATAATTAGGTAGGTGAGAAAAATGCCATGGCCACAGTGGAGGATCCGGTTTCTAGAAATTATATTACCTACCTACCTATTTTTATAATTCTGATACTGCTTGTGATTTTACCTCTGATTTGAGATTTTAAAGAATATATACCTACCCTAGACTATTGTTGAAACAGGGAGTAGTTCAGTTAACACTACGACCCGCACCTATATAATTATATTTTGAAGCTGTTATACTTAATAATAAAATTTTATCATGTTATATATATATGCATTTTCTCTTGAGTCAAAAAATGTCTTCTATAGAAGAGCTACAGCTTTTCAAATGGAACCTCTGTGAAAGAAATAAAAAGTATACTTAGTTTAGATGAGAAAGTAAATATATATCTGCATGAATGTTTTCCTGAAGAAAAAGGTCTTGTGGAGGTTACAATAAGGAAGAATTAACTATAGGTAGGTATCCAAGTTTTCAATGTGTTCCTCCATTGATTGACTATAATATAAGGTATTAGGTACACCTATATATACTTCCATCACGCATAGTTTATCAACTCCTTAGATTTTGATAGGGGGAGCATTATAAAAGCAAAAATATTCAATTTTGTCATCGAATTACTATAACCCCCTATGAGGAATTGAGTTGAAATTTTGTTTGGGTATATTTTGCAGCTTATATGCCTGGATCGAATACAGGGTGTTATTCAATAAGTAGGTACCTATATATCAATGTGGCCAAACTAAAAGGGGCGATTCTTCTAGTGAATCTAAGACGAAAAGCTCATATGTGATTATATAGCTCCAATGAAAATGCAATATTTTCCCAGATATGGTTTCCGTGAATCTATATAGTAACTGATGAATTAATCCCTTTTCCACAACTATATATATATAAATAAAACTGCAATATTTCAACTAAACTGATGGATCATTGATTTTTGCGATATTTACGGCAAAGCGATTTTTTTCAAATGTTTTTGATACCCTCTGTATCTTGAAGATGCATGGTGTATTTCCGGAGCCATATATGTTAACATAAACTTCTCGACTTGGAAACACTCGAAAAATCAACTCTTGAAGTTTGGCCACATTCTTGAATAACACCCTGTATTTAAGCATCGAACATCACTCAGAGCGGGTTTTCTCTGAAGTAGTGCAGGGCCTACTGTATCTTAGAGTAGGCCCTGAGTAGTGCCGGTGGTGTGGTGGTATTGGTATAGCTACTGTGGTGGTACTGGTGGTAGTGCTGAAGTGCTCACAAACGCCTTGCCACGCGGCCCATCTGACCGGCGAGGAAAATGTATTTACGAGGGTTTGTTTCTCGTTGGCAGCGTTCACGCGTAGTAAGCATCAATACGGGGGCTATTCGAGGAGTAGTAATTAGGTACATGATCAACTTGTCTGTGTGGATGTGGATAGAAACATCCGTGTAACTGCCAAATATATTTGACATATTTTATTTCAGGTATATATACCTATAGGAACCTATCATACAGGGTGAGTCAGAATGAGACTAACAAACTTCGTTTATTTCTTCAATTTGAGGTGAATTGTTATAATCTCCGACTGGATGTGACCATATCATATATGACAGATATTCATGAAAGAAAATACCGGGAGGCACACCAAGATTAGACCTTTTTAATCAAAATGATCTTATGAAAGAAATGCTCAGACACGTTAACTTTCATGACTTTCTGGGGCATCATATTGACTTGAAATTCTAACATGATATTGTAGACATCTTCTGAGAATTTTTTCATTGAATGACATCATAATATTGTCATATGACCGTGAGCCATTCCCAGATAGCACAATCCCAGCAAACATGTATCGCGCGGGCCTTTAGACCAGGGCCTACTCTATCTTACCGGGCCGGAGCATCGCTTTCGTGACGTCACACTAGTAGGGACAAAATCAAGACAGTGGAAATTGTCTCTCCCGTTTAATTGATTTACCTCGGGAAAACGGTCACAGTTAGCGAAAAATATCAAGAGGTCAAATATGTACAGAAAATAATTTTCCAGAAGATGAATCAAATTTCACTGATTTACGATCATTAATTTCAGAAATATGGCATATCAAAATTAATTGACGCCATTCAGAATTGTCCTTTTTCAAACAGCTACCAAAATTCCAATATTCAATTTACAGAAATGATTCAACCATGAAAAGATTTCGCATAGTATCTAGATTGACTGAGTTTTTTTTGAAATTCCCAAGGGCCAACAACAAACCGATATTTCAATTCAAGTAGAACGATGATTCTGGTGTTCATTACAGAAAATTTCAAAAAGTTCGGACGCCTCCCATGCTAATCCTATCAACTGTGGATATATGCTGTCACTGACTTTTTTGTAGGAAATTTGATTGCCTACAAATCGGTATAATACACATCCACTTTATCTCGAAGGGTTTTAGCAGCGTTTATCTCTAAAGATGATCAGGACGCACTTTGATGACGTTAGAAATCCTATCACTCGAGTGTGTTATTACACAAAAACGCCTATTAGGTATCAATTATTTTCTGCTGAAGAGTATATATTTGAATGATAACGTTAAATTCATGGAAAAAATCTGATTTGAATATATTTGGAAACTATCAAAATTAAAAAGAACAAAATATGTGGAGTTCATATGAACACAACCTAACAAAAATAATTGAAAAAAAATATGTATCTCAACAATGAGAGATATGAAAATGAATATAACGAATTGAATAACTAAATACCCAGAACAACAATATATGAATAAATAAGCAAAAAAAAAAACGTTGAATCCTTATACACACACAAAACCAAACAAAATAAACTGTATAAATGATCAACATAACAAAATAAAAAAAAATTATAGATATCACAAAATGAAATACACTAATAACAAATAATATATATACATCATCTTAATCACGAACTAAATATTGAAATCTGAACTATATCTCATCTTGAAAGTTTAGTGATTTTTCTTTTTTAATTATTTTTTATTTCGCAATAATTGTTCAACGGAATATTTTAAATGGTTTTAGAGAATGTTCTGCTGATTAAATCAAAAGACCCACAACTGCAACATCGATTCTCGGAATAATTGAGAAGGGAATTGATTTTAATTTCTGCTAAATTCTCCAAAACTTTATGTTGTGACTTACATTGTAGAAATATTGTTTCGAATTTTTCAGACACCAATATTAGTTGGTCTGAACCATACGCCATTTAGAAATGAAATAAAATGAAAAATATATCGCCCTTTACCAAGGAATTATACCGCGAAATCGTAATACAGCGAAAGGACCCCGCACCGCATCAATGGGAAATTGGCTTTCGGTGAATTTACTCGAATTTTTGATATATTGTAGAACTCGTGGTGCTGATCAAATGTCTCCATTGCACCAACGCTCTTAAATCAACAGTTACGATTATATAGGGTGATAAAGTTGATTTTTCCAGAATTTTAGATAGTAATTGTGAAGACACCTTTCATAATTTCGAAACCAAATCAACTGTGCATTGATTGTTCGAATGACCGATACGAATCTACTATAAAGTATAATGATTCCTGCACGTACCAACAATATACAGGGTTGGTCGGAACATAGTGAATAATTCAGTGATTTTCTGGAAAGTGTGCGGTGGAATTTCATTTATATTCTGTTGTATACAAATATCATCCCCATTTCGTGATATAAGCATCTCCTAATCAGATATATTATATACAAGATGTTTTATTTTTGATAAAGTCACATCCATGTTAGGTACTTGGTATTATTGGCATCCTCAATATGACTTACAACTTGAACAACCTATGATGAATGTCTACTCTGCAAATCCGTGAAATATACGGAGTGGATGAAAAATCAATGGTCTTTGCTAATAACTTCTCAAGAGTAGTATGTGCAGATTCTTGTGACCCATTTTATTGACCCTGTTTCATAACGACATCATAATCAATAGGTAAAACTAATCTGAATGCAGTATATTTTTAATAACATATCTGTGATGTTAGATCCATAAATTCGAGATGTGGAAGTCCCCTTTGGTCTCGCCTTTCAATAGCGATTTCTCGCTTCGTTTCATTTGGTTCTCCCTCAAGTCGTACCATATTTTGTATATTGAATGCTGAATGACACGTAAAACAATTCAATCGGCGACGATTAGCCATTTTTCAAATAATTATTACTTTGACTTCTATAAGAACTTGACAGATGCAATAGTTGCAAATGACAATGTTAAAAAGATGAATATAGTTGCTAAATGCCTGCCATATTACATTATTTGAACCAGAGCAATCTTAACATGATCAAGATGAACATGGAGTCCATCATGAGAAGAGATCACCGTAATTGAAAGAAATCGAAGATTCATTCGGCATTTGTAAGAATTTATCATTCGTCCTCACTCAATATTCTATTATTTTATATTACCATGATTTCATGATGATATGTGTGTATGTTTCCAACTGATTTATATATTCATTTGTTAAATACTGTCTGTAGGTTAACTGAGGAGGTGAAATATTCATCATTATACTGGTGAATTTTTGTTTTAGGCTCTTTGATAGTGACATCTTTGGGGCAAATCATCTGATTTGTCCTTACTACACGTATATTGAAATGATAATCATATTTTTATTCTATAGCAACGAGGTGAGAAAATCCCAAAAAATCTGGAATGATTTATATATTTATGTTTATTGAAACTAATATAGCTGCTTCTATCTTTATTGAGTACGTTATAAACTCGGCTATAAAGTCAGGAGTACTTTTCAAATATAATAACTATGCCATCGTGTTGATTTTCATACTACCTCATAAACCAACCAGATAGTATTGTTTGTTACATTAGGTATGTATTTTAGATAGTTGGGTTCATCTTTATATGTATTTTTGTATGTATGTCTGTTTGACTCAAGAGACGCCAATGTATAATTAGCCAATTTGATGTTAGAAAATGCTATCAGAGTCAATTTAGTATAAGCCACGA